ACACATTGATTATTCTGCAACATTAGGACTTGATTTACATGCAGGAGTCAAATGGCGTACGAGAACTGAGCCCTCCATCTTCAAACTCCTCCCATCTTATTCTTTCTCATTCCAAAATAAAATAAAAAATCAACTTTGCCAGGAACCTGCATGGTTAGAAAATAGGAAAGAGAAAAGTCCATCAAACAGCTGCTCAAGTAACCTGGCAAAGAGTCGTTGCTTATTGGGAAATGAACTGATTTAAAAGGAAGTTCATTTAAACCTGGACCGCAAAAGGGTTAAACCTCAATCTGTTTCCTATGGTTCCACCTCCAGTTGCAAGTGCTGCTTATAAAAGAAAGAAAGAAAGAAAGAAAGAAAGAAAGAAAGAAAGAAAGAAAGAAAGAAAGAAAGAGCTCTTAATTATTAGAGGTGATATGAATTGGAAAGTGGATTTGATTCAGCGTTTCAGTCAAATAGCCACTGAGTGGGAGCTCTGAACCAAAGCTTTGCCTGGCTCTGCTTAATGTAACACGTGTCTGCAAGGAGGCCTTCCAAACTCTGTTCAACCACGCAGTTATATATTCAGCTGGAAACTGTTGAAGGATAAGTCATTAAGCAGAGATATTAAGCTGTATGAATACAGTATCAGAAGAGGGAGCCATATTTGCCTCTTGCCCTTAAAATAAATATTATTATCCATTAAAATTTGCTAGATCACAGACTACTTCATCAGATCCACAGACATGGGGACTACAATCCTCAAACCTTTTGCAAGAAGGAATGTGTTGGTCTTTAAAAAGCCACAATCCGTGTTAGTCACGTCCGCTCCTTTGATCAGAATAACTTCTGTTTCTAAAAGACAGCCCGCAAGCTTTTCTTTCTTAAGTACTCCAATTTATTCCCTGTCTTTTTTACTTTCAGGGGACCCAAGGCAGCTTTTGAATTACAAGACCTCTTAACAAAACAAAGCAGATGAAAAACCTCTGGTTTAGTCTGTGTAAATTTCAAGGCTTCCATGTGTGTATATCCAGAAAAACCATCTTGCATTCTGCTCAGAGGTTGAACTTGCCATAGTAACTTACATAGTATATAGTAATTGCTATAGAAATTAGTATTCTAATTTCCTAGTCTATCTTTATGAAACTGGTTGGTGGCCAACTTTGCCCAGTACTTTGATGCCATTTCTTTCCCCTCAATTATTTATTTCACGAGGATCTTCCAATTTAATTGACATGGTCTACAGACAAACATTTTGCACGCTAGTAAAGCTTTGGGCATTCACCTTCGCTGAGATACAGCTAGGAAAACGGGGAAACTGCCATTCTTGGCTCCCCCCCCCCAGACACATTTATTGGCAAACCTTCAGAGCCGGTGCTATATTACCGTGACTGATTTACACTCCCACAATTGACGGAAAATGCCATTCACTCAACGAAAAAGGTATGGGGGTGAAATCCACTTGCTTTAACGGGGCAATAATTCAAACTTGTAACCTTGGTCAGTTTTCCCAATGAGGCTTTCAATAAGATGAACGGGAACTTTCAACAGAAGTCAGACTAAATTTCAAGGTGGCCAACTTTCTTCTTTTTAATAGACCCTAGTTCTTGGGCTTTTAAAACCTTTCTGTTTCTGGCATGGAAAGCAAGGCCTGGTTTTGATGAACCCCCTCCTTTTTCTTCCTCTTCAGGGAATGTGAAGAGGAGATGGGATTTTTTCCCTGTTCTGTTCCAGTTAATCACAGATAATTCTCCTGCCCTGAATTGGAAGCTGTGGTTAATTCTAATGGAGGTTTAGAGAAACAAGCACACCGTAGAAAAGTGGTTGGAAGATGCTTGCTTCAGTAAATTGCACTTGACATCATGCATGGTTTGTCCAGGTTTGGTCATAATAATACACTGTTGCTTTTTAAAAGTAGAAGTGAGAAATTCTGATTTCTTCTTTAGTACCAGACAGAAGAAATGGGAAAAGGTAACGAAGCTAATGTGCCTACATACTAAGGCATTATTTTTTGCAGTACATCTAAATAATGTTAAATGCTCAGTTCAGACCCCACACCAAGCCTTGGATTGTCCTAACATGGTTTAGAATCAAAACATTGATTAGCTTTGGAAATAATTCAAATTATGCTTTAGAGCTGTCGGTGTGTTTTTGTTTCTCTTTGCTAACTGCTGAAATCCAGCACAAAGCAACAGCTTTGATTATAGTCAGTCATAAGAGACATCATATTTATTTATCTGTCCTATTTTTATACGTCCGCCTTGAGCGCAGGTCCCAATGGCTGACGTCTCAAAAACAATGCAAAACCAACATAGATTAAAATGTCTCTAGTAACAAAACAGATATTTATGAATATAATAGCAAAATCCCAGTCAGACTGTGGTTAGCCCAACTCAGTATTTGCAAACTGATTTTGAGCCATGTTTTCGGATCTTTTGAAGTAACAGAAAGGCAGGATTGGCCAATTCTGGAGCTACAGGATTTCTAGAGCTACAAGATTTGCAACAATCCAGATGCAAACTTAGCAATTACAAACTGTGGTGCCATCCAATGGGATTTCTACACCCCTGGCCTGGTAGTGCTGAAGAACTCATGTGTCATACCAAACTTCTGTCCATGATTTGATATGAAATCTGAACTGAGCCAATGAGAAGTGGGGAGGAAAGAGAATGGCTTTTCCTGTTTTATTTTTTCATGCTGGTCCTATTTTAGAGAAACGACACCCAACCTCACATAGCAATCCCACTGAATGCAGAATGCCAGACATTGACTAGTTGACTATAATTTTAGAGATGGCTCTCCTGAGACAAACAAGAGGAAAATCCCAAACAAGGAGTCTTTTGCCAGATGTTCCCCTCAAAATCATGACTGTTAACACTTCACCATATACGTCTGAATTATAAAAATGTTTAAGCCATCAATAATAAATCCCCTTTTCCAAACATGCAGAAACAAGGTTAGAAGGGTCAGGGAGTCGGATTTCTTACTGTTTTCCCTCAAGTTTTCTTTTCTCTGTTTCTGCCTCTTAACTTACAGGTCTCATGACTCCCCTTAAGACATCTGGGTAGGAAGATGGTTGCCTTATTGCATGTTGTTGGAATCATCACAAAGACACAGAAGAAAGCTCTCAGGAATATAATATAGAACTAGGGAAGGATAATAAGAAAAATGTAAGGGCATATCTTCCTTTTATTGCTAATTCCTTCCTTAGAAAGTAGACTGGGGGATCTAAGTGATTGATCAGCCACAGAAAAAGTGTCTAATGGAAATTGATCAAGCACCTCCCTGCATTCCACCTTGGAAAAATAGATGACACAGACATAGAGATAAGTAAGGATTTGGATAATTTTGGAAAAGCTGGTGAGGGGGCTTTCTAAATATAGGAAAAGGATGGGCACTGGAGCTTATATAGCCCCAAACTCATTTACTATAGTCCACTTAACTCTGCAAACATAGTGTAGCCAACTGTTAAACACCTAGCAGTGCAATTCTCTGTGATTTAAAGTCATTCAGCTTTAGATTAGGCCTTAATTTTCTTTTGAGGGCTCTTGAGTGCAGGAGTCAGAGGCCTTGCCTAAAAAGTAGGAGATAGAGTCAGAACAGAAACTAAATGTGATTACATTTCAGTAAAATTAACATGAAAATGTATTGAGGATTTTGGGGCATCTATTTAATAATGACCATCTTTCATTAGATATATGAAAAACCCAACTTGGCAATGAACTTTGAGCTGCTTGTGTCCTGTTGATCAAAGCATCACTCAGTTATGTGAGTGGTTACTACAGATAGAGTACCACAAGCAGAATTTCTCTATCATTGCAGATGACCTTATGGTTTTTCCCCACAGAGTAAGCCACACCTTTGAGGATTCCTCAAAATTTATCTTCAATGTGCATTAGGGAGAGAAAAGGCTGGTATTAATAGTCTCATCCATGCATATTATAACTTGTGAAAGAAGCTCCATGAACACCACTAATGGTTTTGAACAGATAGGCTACTTAACAACCTGCAAAAACTTGTCATGGAAGCTTTTCAGGTCTATAGAATATTTCACAGGTTATGACAAATGCATGTATGAGGCTAAGGACAAATAAGTATGATCTCATAGTTCCTATCTAAGTACAGTTCCCGTAGAAACTTCTAGGGCACAAAACAAGAGATGTAAAAATCCATATTTGAAGTTCTGAAAATATTAAATGTAGATAGGCTCCCCAATCCACCTAAATAACAGACATGAAAAGAAGATTAGATTTGTAGATAGGCATCCATTTTCTACAATTACAGGGAAGAAAACCAACACCAGACTTGTGCTGAGTGGTGTGTTCTTGTCTGATAATGTTTCATGTTATAAATATGCATTGCCAAGTAAACAGAGAGCTAAGGTTTCTATAAGGAAGAGCAATGTGTTTAATTGGATCAAATTGGCTAGTCAGAATCAATTGGCAAAATCTGAACCAAGAGAGTGGAACATCTCTCATTGTTTTGACTTCTTCAGATCACTTAATATATTAGAATGACAATAGACACAACCCCAAAAGGCCTCTGAGTTCCAAAATAATAGTCTTCTTCAGAGTTACAAAGTGCAATTGGCTAGATCTGGGATTCCTAGTTAAGATGACTAACTTCCAGAAGAACAAACAAAACTGCTCCAAAGCTCTTGCAGGACTGTTAGGTTCTAGTGAGAGATATACAGCAATTCTTATAGGGATTACTGGAATCAGCAGGGAAATGGAATGGGTTCCCTATATCAGAGTTCCTCAACCTCAGCAACTTTAAGATGGGTGGACTTCAACTGGCTGGGGAATTC